AAAAGGAAGAGGAAGAAAAAAGAGTAGAAAAAAGAGAAAAAGAGAGAAATAAGAAAAAAGGTGGAAGAAAAAGCGTAAACAAGAAATAGCCGACGAATGGAACAAAGACACAGAACAAGATAAAAGACCGCTAAAGCGACAAGCGGACAACGAGGAACAGAACAAGGAGAGAGAAGGACACGTGATAAAGAAGACAGGAGAGAGAAGGGCCAGAGATAAGGATTCCAGGAGAGAGGACAGGACACAAACAGGTCAGGGGGGGGGGAGGAGAAGGGCGGGAGATAGGGAGGCGTGAATACAAACAGCGCCTCGTGTCTTGTTATCGGGGGGAAGGGGGGGGCGAGGGCGTGGGGGGAGGGGTCGTGTCTATATTTTGTGGTGGTCGTTAGTTCTTCTGTTGTCGTTAGTCGTTATTGCATAGTCGTTTGCTCTCCACCCCCCTCCCTCTCTCTTTCCTCTCTCTATCTCTCTCTTCTCTTTATCTCCTTTCTATGTCAATTTAAAAGTTGACATAGACGGACAGACAAGCAAGAGAAAGAAAAAGATGCATGTATGTATGTACCTGCGCATAGGTGACTTTCTTAACCTCCCTCCCCCCCTTTTTCATAGAAAACACATGTACGTATTCATATACACTTACGTGTGAGTCTATGGCCGAAAATTGTGTCCCATGCTGTTTTTGTTTGTGTTATTGATTTTTTTTTCTCGTTGTTTGTGGTATTGTTGAAGTTTTTTTTGTTTTGTGTTTGTTTTTCATAGTGATATTATTGTTTTTTTTATTGTTGAAGTTTTTTGTTTTTGTTTTATTATTTGTGGTATTGTTGAATTATTTTATCGCTAATGTGCTTTTTGTTTTGGATCAATCGTATTATTTTTTCCTTACTAGTGGTGGTATTGTTTTTTTTTTTCTTGATTAATGGTGGTATTGTTGAACTTTCTTTTCTCATTGTTAGTGGTATTATTGATTTTTTTGTCGTTTTTGGTGGTATTATTGAAGATCTTTTCTCCCTCTCTTTCTTTCATTTCCTTTCTCTCCCTCTCTTTCATTTCATTTCCTTTCTCTCCCTCTCTTTCATTTCATTTCTCTCCCTCTCTTTCTTTCATTTCCTTTCCTTTCTCTCCCTTTCTTTAATTTAATTAATCTCTCTTTTTAATTTCCTTTCTCTTCCTCCTTTTCTTTCATTTCCTTTATATCCCTTTCTTTCATTTCACTTCTCTCCCTTTCCTTCACTTCATACCTCTCCCTTTTTTTCATTTCACTTCTCTCCCTTTCTTTCATTTCATTTCCTTTCCCTCCCCTCCTTTTCTTTCATTTCATTTTTCTCCTTCCCTTTCTTTCATTTGATTCCCTTTGTCCGCCTTTCTTTCATTTCTTTCAAGGGGAGGCCGCCCTCGCCACCGAGCGTACTGTACTGTAGTAGCCGCTGCACTGTACACGGCAGCCGGGCACGTCGCTTGGCATTCATGATTATAGTGGGAGACGCCCTCGAGCAAGGCTGTAGCATTGACCATCGCGGGGAGGGGTGGGGGAGAAGGGGGGAGGGGGGAGAGGTTGGAGGGAGGGAGGTGGGGGGAGGTGAGGGGTGGGAGGGAGGGAGGTGGAGGGAGGGGGGTGAGGGAGGAGAGCAGGGGGGGAAAGTGGAGGGAGTGGGGGAGGGAGGAGAGGAGAAGAGGGAAGGGGGGGAGGTGGAGGGAGGGGGAAAAGGTAAGGAGGAAGGGGAAAAGGGAGGGAGGGGGTGAGAGATGGGGAGGGTTAAGGTTGTGGAGAGAGGAGGGAAGGTGAGGATAAGGGGAGGGAGGGAGTAAGAGAGAAGAGGATAGGGGAGAAAAGGACGAAGGGATGAGATGGAGAAAGAGAGGGAGAGGGAGGGAGGGAGAACGAGAAGGGGAGAGAGAGAGAGGGGGGGGGCAAGGGGGGAGGAGAGGAGGCTGTACCTGTAGCCAGGCGGAGGTACAGGAATAGGGTTGTACCGGCCAGCGGATATGGTTGTGATTAAGCTCAGGTGGGGAGGTTAAGTTGGGGGGGTGGGGGGTGGGGAGGATGGGGGGAAGGAGGGAGGGAGGGAGAGAAAGAGGGAGGTTGGAATAGAAAGACGAGGGGAGGGGGTGGAGAGAAAGAGAGGAAGAGAGAGAGGGGGATGGGGAGAGAGGGGGGGAGATGGAGAGAGATAGAGAGAGAATGAGAGAGAGAGAGAGAGAGAGAGAGAGAGAGAGAGAGAGAGAGAGAAAGGTGGATAAGTAAGTTAGATGTCGAGGCGGGGGGGGGGGGAGGGGGCAGGGACGGCAAGTACTTTCTCTGCTCCAGCCTCTTCTTGCCCCCCCCCCCCCCCGTGCCCCACACCCCATGCCCATGCCCCTCCCGTACCCTACCCAGCCCCCAACTTGCCCGAACATTCCAGGCATGCCAGTTCTCGCCCTCTCTCTCTCTCTCTCTCTCTCTCTCTCTCTCTCTCTCTCTCTCTCTCTCTCTCTCTCTCTCTCTCTCTCTCTCTCTCTCTCTCTCTTTCTCTCTCTTCTCTCTCTCTCTCTCTCTTCTCTCTCTCTCTCTCTCTCTCTCTCTCTCTCTCTCTCTCTCTCTCTCTCTCTCTCTCTCTCTCTCTCTCACTCACTCACTCACTCACTCACTCACTCTCTCTCTCTCCCTCCCTCTCCCTCTCCCTCTCCCTCTCTCTCCCTTTCCCTCTCCCTTCCCCTCCTCCTTCATCTCTCTCTCTCATCCTTTCTCTCCCTCTCCCCCTTGCTCTCTTCCTCTCCTGTCGCCCTCTCTCTCTTTCCCTCTCTCTCCCTCTCCCTCTTTCTCTGTGTTCCTCTGTCCCTCGTGTTGACGCAACCGGAGCGCGGGCCAGCATCACGTGGCCGGAGAGGAACTGGCCGGCGATGATGCTGTCTCGAGGATGCTGAGGAGGAGGAGATGGGAGGGGGGGGTCTGCGGTCGAAGGGGGGAGGGGGGGAGGGGGAGTGGGCGTGTTGGTGTTGTTTGCTGGTTGGTTTGTGGGCGGACGGAGGGTTTATGGGCGTTTTCTTCTGTTTTTCTTTCATTCTTTTTTCTTTTTTTCTTTCTCTGTCCCTCTATTCCCCCCTCTTCCCCACTGTCTCCCTTACCCTCTCTCCTCCTTCCTCTCTCTTTTCTTCTTCCTCTCTCTTTCCCTTCCTCTCTCTTTCCCTTCCTTCCTTTTTCCTCCTTCCTCCCTCTTTCCTCCTCCCTCACTCCCTACCAAAAGTAAGGCAGAAAGCGTCAAAATAGGTGATGATAATAATAAAGAACGAAAAATAAAGGAAACGAAAAAACAAACAAACAAACATGAAAAACAAAATAAATGATACAAAGGCAGGTGATGAATTTGAAAGAAATGATGCGAAGGAAATGCCGTTATTATAATGAAAGGAAATGAGAGACTTAAGAAACACGAAGAGGACAGGACGGCGTTGCTGATTGAATATTGCATGCTGGCAAGTAATGACGTCGCTCTGAATATGCATGATATTGGTATTAGTGGGTTGATATTTATAGGAATTATCTCACACGTGCGGGCACACATATACACACGCGCGCGCACACACACACACACACACACACACACACACACACACACACACACACACACACACACACACACACACACACACACACACACACACACACATACATACACGCACAGATATACGTACATGAGCATACGCACACACATGCACGAAATTATACACACTCATGCGAGTACATACCCACACACACAAGCACAGACACATACACACGCGAGCACGTACGCACGCACGCGCACACTTATTATGTCTATAATTTAACATAAAAAACATGATTTCCAGCACAAAAGGATACATTTTTTGTCATTCTTATTGAATACAACAGGACGCACATTTTGGAAAATTGTTATTCAGCACACGCTCAAAGGATCCATTTTTCATCATTGTTACTTAATGCAGGAGGATAGTTGTTTTTGTTAATGATTATTAATCTCAAAAGGATGCGAGGGAAGGGCTATTTTTATTCAGTTTTTCATCTGTACAGGATGCGATGATTCAGATAATTGCCTTGTATTGATTTTATTCCTTTCTTAAGACCATCATTTCCTCCCCCCAGCTGATTTTTTTTCTTTCCCGGATTATCGTCTTTATTTAGGTCTTCCTCTTTCTTGTTCTCGATTCTATCATTCATGATGATTTACCTGAAGGGGATAAATCTCATTCATTATTATTTACATCAAAATGATATATATATTTTTTATTATTATATTCCTTAAAGAGATAAATTTAATTCATTACTATTTACCCCAATGTATAAGTTTTATTATTCATGTATTATTATTTACCACAAAAGGAAACACTTTCATTATTCATTAGTGTTTACCTTACGAGGATGCGAGGTTTCCAATGATTATGATGCAGATCAAGAGGTTTCATATCTAAGATCATTTTCTTCGTCTCTTACAGGTTATTGTTCTTTCTTGCCTGCTTCCTTGGATTATCAACTCATTTAGGTTTCCCATCTTCTATAGATTTCATTATTCCAGTGTTATTTGTCTTAGATAGTGACTTAGATCCTTATTATGCATATACTAAGGGTTGTTTTCTCTTTATTAAGGTCTTCCTCTTTCTTGCTGTCAGTGTTATTATTTTTTATTGTTGGCTTTAAATAATCGTCATTTTCATGTTATTATTATTTATTATTGACTTTAAATGATCATTATTTTCTTGTTATAAACTATTACTTATTATTGGCTTCAAATAATCATTATTTTTTACGTTATCATTATTCATTATTGGCCTCAAATAATCATTATTTTCATGTTATTGTTATTTATTATTGGCTTCAAATATTCATTATTTTCACGTTATTATTATTATTTATTAATGACTTGAAATACTCATGATTTTCACGTTATTATTATTATTTATTAATGACTTGAAATACTCATGATTTTCACGTTATTATTATTATTTATTAATGACCTGAAATACTGATGATTTCCCCCTCTCCCCGGCAG